GGTTTCCCAGAGGCTTGTAAATGAATATTAGATTATTCTATAAATACCTTGTATTTATACTAGGTTTCTGTTAATTTTACAGTGTGCCCCACCTGAACTACTTGGCGCACTAGGATTTATTCAGCTCACTAAGAGTATAGAAGCACAATAATGGACCGGTGGTATGAACCAAAAGAGTAGGCACTATGACAGTCACAAGCAATCAGACTTAATAAGCAAGTTTTTGTTCACTGCAGGAAATGTACAGTGACTTTCGGAGTAGAGTCCTTGAGATTCTTGAATTTTTCATGTTGAGTACAGCGATAGCTACCATATGAAGTCTCCTGACACCCATCTGATACTGCTCTTGGACTGAAGCCCTCTTTTATTTTCACAAAGTAGCCCTGTCACAGCCCCCATCTCTTGAGATAAGTGGGATGTCTGCTCCTTGCAACCAACCACCGTACACAGAACATATACAAAAGATAAACAGGGTATCACTGCCATCGCAAAATAAACGCACAGGATTCCTAAACTGTCCCACACTGGCACAGTGAAAAGTAAGACAGCCATCCTGACATTTATTCCAAGATACTGAGAATCTCCTACATCCCGGGCAGTGCACTTACGTGTGAAATAAATCAGAAAAAATCTTAGCCTTTATGGAACTTGCCTTCGAATGGAGACCAAAAATAGACACAGGCAAATGAATCATGTCCCAATAGCCATAAAATTCAGTTGCTATTTCCTTCATACTAAAGATCTAATTTGAATAGTGTGCTCCCTGAATTAAGCAGCTAGCTGTTCTATCACCCTGCAAGCACAGTGTGAAGTTCGGTATTGTATGTCTGATGATTCTATTTACTGGTAGGATTGCAGTTTTAGCAGGATCTACCTTCAGATCGCTCTTCTCTTTCATTCGGTCCTGATTTAATTGGTTTAAAGCACTAGGTCAGCACTCATTTTCAAGATTCTACTGCTCTGCCATTAAGGAAAGTAAAAATGCTCTTTTAGAATGTATTTCTAATATTTCTAATGTTTCCTTGCTAAGGAAATCACTGCTTGGATCATTTTCATATTGGTACTTAGATTTTTTTTCTTTAGATTGGATTTTGATGTGATAAAATCCTTACCTAAAACAAACAATGAAAGAAAACCTTTATTCCTCGAGAATACTGTTGGAAAGTAAAATTTTAAAAAGCCAGGCATGTTGTTTCATCTCTAGAGCAGGCTGCTTGTTATTTCTATGCTGAATCGAGGTAGACTCCGATGACCGTGTGTGTGTGTGTGTGTGTGTGTGTGTGTGTGTGTGTGTGAGAGAGAGAGAGAGAGAGAGAGAGAGAGAGAGAGGTCCAAGCACGAGGGGCTGGAGAGCAGGGTCACTTCCAGTCAGTTCGCAGAGTTCATTTTCATGAATGATGCTGAGGAAAAGAGCATGGTGCCAACATTCTCATTTGCTCTAGGCCGCAAACTAGTATTTGTTGCGGGTAACATCTGAAGAAGTGTCATTTGCAAGAACGGTTTTGCGGCCCAAAGGGTCCAGAGTGGAGCAGAAGCACGAGGCTTTACAAAGAGAGAAGACATATTCTCCTATTCAGTGTAGCCACTGTGGTTCAACGTCCTGACTCTTTAGGCGGACTCTCTCCATTCCTATGAAACCCGTGGCACTGTGATACCTCCATTAAGTAATAGAGTTGGAGCAATGTACCGTATATACTCTGGAATAAGCTGAGTTTTTCAGCATTTTTTCTGTTGTTGTTGTTGTTGCAGTTTTTGTGGTAAAATTGGGTGCCTCAGCTGATATTCAGGTCAGCTGTTAGAGGCAGGGAGAGTTACACATTCTCCCAGCACGCAAGCCTTTTGCATTATGGCTCTGCCCCTTCATACATCTGGAGGAGGGAGCAATTTCCCCACTCTCTGGATCTGGGCTGGCAATGTGCTTCACTTTATCACAGATGTGGCTTCTTTGAAACTCCTCAGACCTCCCAGTGGAGTGGCTTAGGAGCAGCTGCACTTGCTTTCTTAGAATCTGGTGCCATGACCTCTTCAAGCCTGGGCTTCTCAAGCGGACAAACAAAAGAACGACCCCGCTGAGTTAAACTCAGATTGCAGGCCAGCAGAAACACGAGCAAATAAAATGTTTTTATTTCTTATGATCCCACCAAGTTTCTAGTAGTTTCTTATGCACAATATGTAAATGATATACATGCCACCTTCTCTTTTGTGCTTTCGGACTACCCTTTGTAAAATTGGGGCAGTAATGTACCTGGTGCATGGTGAGAGGTCTCAGGGTGGTACAAACAGTGCTCATAACTACTAACTAGAAGAGGCTGGGAGTTCAAATCCACCTGGTGTCACCGCTGGATGAAAGGTTAGGGACGTGCTTCTGTAGATTAACCCCACCCAAACGTATGGGGCAGTTTTCCTTTGTAACATGTAGGATGGCTGATTTGAGTTAGAATTAGATCGACATGGCAGCAACAGGTTTGGGTGGCAGTGGGGAACAGGTAATGTTGGATGATACATAATGAGTTCTATATTAAGAGCATAGTTTTCATTGTACAGCCAGAGCAAGACTGTACGGCCCAGGCTTGGCCAGATTACAGCCAGCAGCAGGAAAAAGTCAGGGGACAGCAGGTATGGGCTGACACCATGGTTTCACAGTGGCCCTGACCCTGGTGGCCAGTCTGAGGTGTCCTGGGAGAGCTCTATAGGCCCCGGATACCAATGGGAGGGGACTAGAATTGGACAACAAGAACACGTGCTGGATAGCTGGTAGCATTTGCTCCTGATCAAGGGAGGGAAGTTCCGTTGGGCAGCATAGGAAGTTTGGTACAAAGTGGTTTGGGGCGAGGCAAGGGTAAGAGTCAGTGGGATCATTTTGCATTCATGGCATTGTACCTGGAGTCTGAGGTGGCCTAGAAAGATACATGAACTTGTGAGGAATTACAAATTCAGCCCCTTGGGATGAACAGATTATTTACCTGAAATAAATGACATCAGCACTTTTTCTGCTTTCTGAGTAGCAATGATTAATTTGGAAGACTATGGAGATAATTATTTTCATGGTACCTGTTCAATAGCTTATGAACACAGTAAGCTATAAATGGACAGGCTAGTTACAGTTGTTTTATATTAATACTCATGTTATGCATTTCAGACAATACTAATACTGCAACTACAGAGTCTTTTTAACTCTCTACCATCCTTACTAGCTACAAATCTGTTCTACACACAATGGGACCTACTGTTTCCAAGAATGGTACGGAAGCTACAAACAGCAGCCATAGCATGCGTTCACCGTGGAAACACAAAGCTTTGGGTTCTTCTCTCTTGGGTCATTTGTTTTCACCAGACCCGAAAAGATGGAGACACAGTTTGCCAATTTTACAGATGAGGATACTGTCACACATAGGAGGTTACATAAACATTCTATTTGTCAAACGATAGCATTTGCTGGTGTCAAATGCCTCTCCTTTTGACAAGGGAAATGTTCTTTTATGTTTAAGGTTACTATTTTTCTCTACATATACTGGCAGGTGTTTGGAGTGGGTTTTATGGAGGAAAACCTCACACATTGCAGGCTTCATACTGGAGTCCAAGGGGAACTCCTAACACCTGGATAGACAGGCACTGGTGTTTTTGTTAAGATACAAATGTAAGAAAAGATCAGTACGCTGATGGTGTCTGCTGCTGCACTGAGCACTGGGGGGCAGCATCACTATTGTTTTCCAACGTCTGCGCCTGGCCTGCCTTCCGACCAAGGCAAGCAAATCTAAGTTCTCACTGGCAAACTCACTGCTTTCCAGTCA